TATCTATCTATCTATCTATCTATCTATCTATCTATCTATCTATTTCTATCATCTATCTATCTATCTATCTATCTATCTCTCCTCTTCTCTATCTATCTATTCTATCTATCTATCTATCTAACTATCTTCTATCTATCATCTATCTATCTATCTATTATCTATCTCACTCTTTTATATATATATATATATATATATATATATATATATCGAATTTTAAAAAGCTAGCGGCACGCCTGAACACGGACAATAAGGTACCTGCCGTCCACATGCCGCATGTATAACAAACATCACAAGCTTCCGGGTGGCATAGCATGTCTAGCATGAGCGCTAGCTACCGCGTTCACAATCAACGTGATTATCATCATCCTTACATACGCGCTAACACACTTACACACTGGACAATGTGCAGTATGCTGATTGGAGATTGTAGGTAGTCGCCCCTGATGGCCATCCTGATGTTGTCTATCCTCGGGTTGCTGCAAGGTGATGGTACAGTACAGTCTCGCTACACGGTTCAAAGTCCACGAGAATAATAATTCTAAACTAAGCCGCCACTGAATATAAGCGCATGCGCCGTGAGCACGATTATTTGCAGTGACTGCGGTATATGTGCATTACGTTATCCCGAAAATGGCGCTTTTGATGACGTAATTTCGAAAAATTTAAGCTTTCTAGTGAACAACATCTTATGTGAAGTATCGACGAATTATTCTATACTTTTAAGCCGAGTAAACAGACCCATGCAGAAGGCTAGCTCATTAATAACACGCCGATATCACATATCTATATTTCGGCCTAGTAATTCTCTTACTGTGATCTAGTCATGTGATTTACACATCGTATGAATGTATGTCATACCATCACGTGCGTGCATCGATCGTGATTTCACGCGCAATTCACACACACCCACAAACGTACGCACACAAACACGCGCACGCGCGCATACACGCACACGCACGCGCATTTGTGCGGGCGCACACACATATAACAATTGTGAGAAAATTGAACTATTTAACTCGCCAAGCGTTACATACCTTCAGTCCAGTCCAGTGACTACAAAGTCTGTTGGAGCGAGTTGACTTTAGCACCTTGGCTGTCGGAAAGCACGGCTAGGTTCCGTCTTGTGTGTGTTACGTTGGTCGTTTAGTAATACAAGTAACGTTCTAATTCATTATTACGATAACGCTCTGGACGTTATAAACACTTGCATTAACCGATGGAATTTGGTGACACTTTTGTTCTCGAGTTGATATCAGCGAAAAATTGCTCTACGTCTTATTTATCGCAGATAAACTGTATATGTTTCGGTGCGGCTCGTTTCGTCTCGGGTCTTAGAGCGAGCAGCGGAATGTTATACGTACAAACATGCAGGTAGGTGAGATCATGAGCACGAGACAGGGGTGTCACAGGAGGTGCGCGCATGCGCGTGATAAACAGATAGGTCAGTCCATTATAATTTTCATAAACTAGAAAGATATTTTTTGTATTTTGTATGCTATACATAATAAGGTCGCATATCGATAATAGTGGGTCCAATAATACTAGCGTGAAAGTTCACCAGAAACACGAACGATAGTTTTAATTTTTACATAACATACAGAAAACGTTTATTTAAAAATAACATTTATTGTGACAAAGACACATTCGTATTGCATTCGTATCATTATTTCACCAGTGATTGTTAAAATGTGACATACTTGTCATTTGAACTACGAGATAATTACATCACTAAAATGTCAAATAGACATGTGTCTCCTAAACGCTGTTATCAAATGGTGATATGGTTTTGTTCGCATTATGCATGGTTTTGGTTCTGTATATTATGCCCTGCAATTCAATACATTGGTACATTATTAATATATTGGCATCATATTATATATTTTCAGTTGTAAACAAACTGTATGCACATATATTGTTAACTTTTGCTACATTGTAAAACTTTCATCTAGAAACTTTGTGACGATACCATTTGGCTATTTATCCCGCATATAAAATTTTAATATAAATTAAACAAAAATTAATAATTAATTTGTTCATTTATTTATCAATGCTTTCATACAGAATACACAGCTGAGCATGGCCCACTTACAACTCTTAAATGTATATCAACATTCGAGCCATTTCAGATCGTGCATACACAGGCTTCCATTTTCATATGAGTGACTCCTTGGGCATATGAAACCGTAGTAATGTTATTTAAAGTAATGTCCGCCATGATATTAATATCTTCGCCATGATATAACGTCTTGTTAATATAATACAAAAAATCAACGATTATATTTTCTATCAAATGACGTGTATGTTGCAACGTATCCTAGCAACAAGATTCTATTGTCACAATAAATCACTTCTATTATGTTTTCTCCATTGTTCTCTGGCAACGACGACATAGATACATGGCACAAGACCTCTGCATTCGTGATGTACTGAGTTTGAGCTCACGGTGTCCGCAAAAAGAGCGCTCAGCTTACTTTGATTTAAATCAATTGCAAGCCGTAACATCAGCAACAGTCGTATATTTTTCTAACAAAGCAACTACGCTTTATGCCAGACTAAGCCTCACCACAGAAACAAAATGCCAAAATCGAAAAGTAATAAATCTCAAGTAAAGACTTCCTCGAAGTCGCGAAAGGCAGCTGTGGCAGTTAAACCAAAACAAGAAAATATTCAAGTATGTATTATTTTCAAGTATCATTTATTTATGCGTTTATTATTACATGTGTAAGAAATAAACACGTTATGAAGAGAACACAAGGAGTGTGTGCGTGCGTGTTTGTGTACATATATTCGTGCGTGTATGTGAAGGTAAAGAATGCCTACATAACGCACTCATTGAGGTTAATTCGAGAGTTGTGTCATCCATATATAGTAAATAATTGTTAACTGGTGGGTTGTTACCTTTTCGAAGGAGGAGGAGACATTTACGGCGGACGACCCAGATGCACTAGGATTAGGATTTGACGATTGGCTACAGCCTCGGCAGTTAATAAAGCCGGACGATCAGCTAGAATTGACAGATGCCGAACTGAAGGAGGAGTTCACTAGAATACTCGATGCCTGCAATCCGAACGCGGCAAAAAATCTTATCCGATTCAACTTCTCCGAAGCTTCCTACAAACAACTTGCGAGTATCGAACAACTGGCCTTCCACTTCTCCATGGACGGTTGCGTCCTACACAAGGAGTCTGACGCAGCGAGAAGACAAGCGACGATGCACGGCGCCTCGGTGACAGCGACGTCAAGCATCGTCATAAACGTGGACGAAGCCGCCGAGGAGGACGACGAAACGAAGCAGACGTCAGAAGAAGCCGAGACGCAACAACAACCGCAGCAGCAGCAGCAGGAGCCGCGAGCATCATCAGCGAAGGGAGACGCGCCGACGACAAAGATAGCGAACCAGTTCAACTGCAGCGAACGCGCAGCGCAGACGTACAACAACCCGTTCCGCGATCACGGCACACAGACGGAGCCACCTCCACGAGCGGTATTCAAGGCAAACGTGTCGCAGTGGGAAATCAACGACGCGTACGCCGTTGACTTCGAGAGCCAGCAGCAGAAGACGAAAGAGAAACCGAAGGCGACGAGCGGCAAAGGCGGCGACAAGACGAGGCGCAAGTTCTCCGCCGTCGAGAATCCAGGCGAGGAGCTGTTTCGCGTCGCGGCGACGGCGAGAATCGTCGAGCGCATGGTGAACCAGAACACGTACGACGAGATCGCGCAGGACTTTAAGTACTGGGAGGACCCGATGGACGGCACCAGCGACCAGGAGGGAACACTGCTGCCGCTGTGGCGCTTCGCCTACGAGCGCACGAAGCGGCTAGCCGTCACGTCGCTGCGCTGGAACCCGCTCTACTCGGACATGTTCGTTGTCGGGCACGGCTCGTACGAGTTCACGAAGCAGCCGCGCGGCGTCGTCTGCTGCTACTCGCTTAAGAACCCGTCGCATCCGGAGCAGACGATCGCGACGAGCTGCGGCGTCACGTGCGTCGACATTCACCCGACGCTGCCGCACACGATCGCCGTCGGCCGCTACGACGGCGGCGTCGCCATCTACGACATCAAGGAAAGGCCGCGCAAGCCGATCTACGAGAGCAGCGCCGAGAGCAAGCACGCCGACCCCGTGTGGCAGATCAAGTGGCAGCGGGACGACGTCGACGACAATATCAACTTCATCTCCGTGTCGTCGGACGGACGTGTCTGCCTGTGGACGGCCGTCAAATGCGAGCTGGCATGCACGGAGGTGATTCAACTGCTCATCGCCGACGCCGTCAGCGACGGCCCCGACGGCACGCAGCTGCGCACGCTCGGCTGCGGCACGACGATCGACTTCCATCCGACGCAGACGCAGATGTATCTCGTCGGCACCGAGGAGGGCAAGATACACAAGTGCCTGCTCTCCTACTCGAACCGCTTCCTGCAGACGTACGACGCGCATCAGATGGCCGTTTACGGCGTGCAATGGAATCCCTTCCATCCGAACGTCTTCATCTCGTGCAGCGCCGACTGGAGCGTCAAGATCTGGGATCACACGCAGACGGAGCCGTCGTTCACGTTCGACCTGGGCAGCGTCGTCGGCGACGTCGCCTGGGCGCCGCACTCGTCGACGGTGTTCGCCGCGTGCACGTGCGACGGTCGCGTGCACGTGTACGACCTCAGCGTGAGCAAACACAGCGCCCTCTGCTGTCAGACTGTCGTGCAGAAGAAGAATACGAAGCTGACGCACATTGCCTTCAATCCCGTAAACCCGATCATCCTAGCCGGCGACGACAGAGGCGCGGTGATGAGCCTCAAACTGTCGCCCAACCTCAGGAAGGTGAAGTGTGACAAGAAGGGCCAGAGATTAGAGAGCTCCCCCGAGACAGAAGTCGCGAAACTGGATAAGATACTAGACGTCGTACGGGAGACACCTAAGCCACTGAAGGACATGTGAACGGCTGTATAAAGAGGTCGGAGCAAGAGCGTGAACAGTGTTTGTACTAGATCTCTTCGGCTCAGTAGCATCTACAGCACAATCGCTGGTCGCCACGTAACGATATGTCACCTGAAAGATGGCGCGTGTATTGTAAGCAGACATGAATTGTAATTTCCATGAAATACAAAGTTACACTCTGATCTTGTCGCCTTTTGTTTCAATAGTTCAGTACGTGTCATTTTAACCATATTTACCTCAAACATACTCATTCCATATATATGGTGTACCAACCAATAAATATCTGTTTAATTATTAGACTAACTTAATTTTACATACAATACCTGTTTTAATAGTAGACTAATTATCTGGGGCCGGTTTCACGAAGCGTAATTAAGTCTTTAATCATTATTAAATTACTAATCATGATTAACTTCCCGTACTTAAATCAAAGTGACTGTTTCACGAAGCGTAATTAACTTTAATCATGATTAAGTTAATCACAATATTTAATTATACTCAGGAGCATGATTAAATCCACCAATCATAATTAGTTGGTTTGCGAAAAAACAACATGGATGCCGCAATTATTTACGAGCGTATGAATGACCGAATTATGAGGCAATATAGACATCGATACGATTTTATAAATACATTGAATGACGAGGAGTTAAGGCAGAGATACCGCTTCGGGAGGAAAGGAATAGCATTTCTTCCTGATATAGTGAAAGACGACTTACAGAGGCCAACGAAACGTTCATGCGTGATTCCGTCGATGATGCTACTTCTGATAGCTTTACGTTTTTACGCGACTGGAGCTTCATTTGTAAGTTATTCCATAGAGTTGTTAATTTTGCTACTGTTCGGTTTCCAGCACTTATGGCATTTATCTTTCGGGCTATTTCCTCCCATTTCTCGCTCTTTATTTTTGCAGTTAAGCTACTTGTAAATTGTCCGAATAGTATGTGGAAATTATCCTTGACGAGGTCTGCCAGGTTTTCTCAGTTGCTGTAAAATTCGCCTTGCGTTTCTTCGCTATTTGTTAATTTTCGGGATGAATTAGCATTTGAGTTGCGTTAATGTCTGCCATTTTGAATATGATTAGGCCTAAGTCGGCTAATTACGTACTTAAGTCGGCTAATTATGTGATTAGTTAAATATATACTTAAATCGCTTCGTGAAATTGATTCCTGAATTTAATTAAGATAGCGCCATAAGCTTTTTAATATTTTACATGGATAAGATTTGGCACTTAGATGTTCTCAGGCACTTTCAATTTGGCCCAGAGTCCAACTCATCGATGATTGACACGACCTACTCTGAACGTTTCAACCGTCCGCTTACAGCAATCGATCGATAGTTTTGCACGAACAATTAAGGCATTCCATCGCAAATGACATTAACTCGCAGCGCGTGTAAATGCCTGTGCCCCTCCCGTTCCTATAACTATGTAGACAATAACATACTTGATGGGTGGCGTCAGTCACTTGTGGCACGTGTAAACGTTTTGCTAATTACATGTCCCCGCTGCACCTGTACGTACCTGATCATATGGTCCTTACAATTAAACGAGTAACACTCAGAAATAAACATTAACCCGTTGAATCCAAATGAAAGAAATGTTATTCTAAGAATATTATACTAATATAACAAAATAAAATAACATAGTAGTTAGTCTCTCAACACAAACATGATACTCGCACCTCAATTTATCTTCATTCTAACCGGAATAACACGCTGACACTAATTACACATTGTCGGGAAAATTCATACTAATTGGCATTTGACCTCAATAATATAGTGTATACTGGTGTTGTTAAGTAATCAACCTATAAAGACCCTTATTAAAAACTCCATAATTGGGTATAAGAAACATATATATATACATCAATATACATCATATTCATATACAATGCATAATTATAACATTAACAAGCAGTATTTCTATATCCGATTTTGGTTGCAACTGGCATCGCTTAGTACTCTATTCCAAATTCTTACTGCAGATCAGTTTATCAGCAAAATGTCTTTCTTTGTAATCCAAACGGAATATTCTGGGATTACTAAATTAGTAAATAATTTCTAGATGTAAAACAAGTCTGTATGATGTAGATTTTCAAGATGTAAAACGTTGAACTCAGAAATCTGGCAACAGCGTGTATAAGTAACAGTTTATCGATGTAGCTTACTACGTCCACGGTGCTCTCCATGCCTATTGTTTCTCTTCCGCCGTACTTCAGTGAATTCCACTACAGACAGACAGAGCAGTGATAGGCCTAATCCTAATGATATCGCACGTAGAACTCTCGACATGGTTTGTAGGTCAAAACCTTGAGCATCTACCGTCATTCCCGTGTCCTGCGAGCATTCGGATGGCCCCTGTGAGAGCAGCTGACTGTGGACACAGGCACTTGGAACGTCTCAATAAAAAAAAATGTAAACACGAAATGTATTTACTACCAAAGTCTTAATGTTTCTCTACTCTATTATTGCCGATAATTACCCGTAAATGCCGGTCAAATGCTCATCTGCAACACACAAGTACACCGCACGCCCGCCCTGTGCACAAACAACATGAATAAGAGATTCATGATAATTCAGATTGATTCATTTTCTTTGTGCACATGGCGGGCGTGCGGTGTACTTGTGTGTTGCAGATAAGCATTTGACCGGCATTTACGGGTAATTACCGGCAATAATAGGCGAAATAGAGTAGAGAAACATTAATACTTTGGTAGTAAATACATTTCGTGTTTATTTACCATTATTATTTTTAATTGAGACGTTCCAAGTGCCTGTGACTGAGGAGATGCATTAAATTGCCGATTTCATTTTATGTAGCATGTATTACTGCACCAGTAGTCGGTGTGATGGTGGAATGAAGTGCTAACTCATTTAGTGTCGTAAATGGATAACGAGAGCTTACTAGATTACCAGAATACAGAGCGCAGTATAGTAAGAACGAAAGCCTCCACATTGATAGAAGTAATCGGCATGGAAGAAATCGAGGCAGGCTTACTCCGCCCTGTAGAAGGAATCCGCCAAACATGTAAACCACATAGTAGGCCATACCTCGCGTAGATTCCGTATTCCTCTAGTTCACTGTCATTATATGACCATCTATCCATAACCGCCATGGTACCTGCTGTTACAAGCGAATATCCAAGTATGCATATCCAGATATAGGTGTCAAACGGATCAAGGACATTTAGCATGACCACATTTGCCTGTGGTTGTTTAATAAGTCCTCGGGCAATTGATCGTGTCTTTGTGCGCGTAAGTTACTACAACAGATGCCAGACATGTATGTGAACATTTTGAGAACAAACTGTTAGCAATGCGATATATGCATTGTGCCAAAATGTGCCAGGTTTCGTTTCCAGGTTTAGAAACTGTCTAGTCACGGGTACGCGCGCGCCCGCCGTTGTCAAGCATTAATTACCAGTCATCTCTACGATAAATGTTAGCGGCATGTCAACCTTTGTGCGTGAATCCTATGTCAATTTGTTTAATACATCTACGGAAAGCTATTTCAATTCACGCCAGCATAGTGTAGACGAGCAGGAAGCGTGGAGACATGGCGTTGCATGGTCGGTTGTGAACGATACATCTAGTGCGCCTATATTGTGCAGCTGATACCACCTGCGCCACGGACAATTGATCGTGCTATACGTGGGTTACTATAGCACATCACAGACATGTAGCAACAAGTGTTCTTTTGAGAAAAAATGTCAGTAACATTAAAATCTAGATGCGCACGGTGCTCAAATATCGTTCCCATTATCCACGCGAATATCATACAAGTAGGACATATCCGCAAGTAGGTATCAAATGGGCTATGTTTATTTATCATGTCCATTTTTACGTGTGTTTTTTAAATAAGTTACACATAGTAGGCATCTAGTAGGTGCTTGGGGAGAAAGTTTAAAATTAATATGGCTGGAGTTTTACATATGAAACTCACGACGGTTACGTGCGCGGTTATGAATGGCAAAACATTTTATATACAAAGTAAAAGTATATGTGCCTATATCGCGATGTGAATAGAAATAGCTTTCCGTAGATGTATTAAACAAATTGCTTGACAACAGCGGGCGCGCGCGTGCCTGTGGCTAGACAGTTTCCAAACCTGGGAACGAAACCTACGCATTTTTGGCGCAATGCGTATATTATTGGCGTATGCGTATATATATATATATATAGCCTTACTAACAGTTTCTACTCAAAATGTTTACATACATGTCTGTCATCTGTTGTAGTAACTTACGTGCACAAAGGCACGATCAATTGTCCGATGCCGTGCATGGTGATATCAGCTGCATAATAGGCGCACTAGATGTGTATCATTCCCTCGAAACTTCAAGCGGCAAACATAAAATCAGGCAAAAAGGTTTTATTTTAACATTGCACGTTTGTACTTGCCTATTTATGTGAGATAGGTAAAAAAATGTCCGGGAATACGTTCATTCGAAGCTTTTAGACTACAAAGTGAACGTGTCGGGTCGTATGTTTCAAACAGTGCCTACTCGCAGGTACGTGAGTAGAGCGGGTACGCGCACAGACATCAATTATTTATGTGTGTAATACGTGCCGGCGGCGTCTCGGGAGTCGGGATGTGATCTTTATACAATTTACATGAAAAAATTTTTCGTGCGAAATGCTTTGATATATTGACATGGGATGTACACACAAACCCTGTCGCTAACATTCAGTATATAGATGAACGGTTATGCTTGGCAACGGTAAGCGCGCGTGTACCTGTAACTAGACAGTCTACAAAGCTGGGCATATAGGAGGGCACGGCAGGATATCATGACGTAGACAAAGGCATTGGGGAGATAGTTGCGTGCGACGCGCACATCGATTTTAATGTTACTGAAACTTTTGTTCTCATTTTTTCAAGCACATGGTGCTAAATTTCTGGAATGTGCTCTCGCAACTCATGCGCAGCAAGGCAAGATGAAATGCTAGAGGCGGAGGTGATATTAGCTGCATAGCCGCACTAGATGTATTGTTCACAACTGACCAACACCATGTCTCCACGCTTCCTGCTCGCCTACGCAATGCTGGCGTCAACCTGTGTTCTGATTAAGACCAACCCGTCCACCTCTTCGGTATGTGGAATTCTGCCTGCAAGCAACAGCTCCAAAGTTATACAGAACCAGAGCGTCACAAGCTCTCAGCCTTTCCACGGGATCGAAGAATTAAACGGCTTGCACAGCAACGTAGGACTCCATCATTCGCACTCTTTTAAAACAGCGTATCGTCTTTCCAAAAGATTGCTACTCGATTTAAGCAAGTATATGAATTTTACCTACAACCTCCATCTGCGATACAGTCTGCAAGAAGAATTTTCAGCGGTAAGAGATGACTTGATTGACCTGGATATTTCGATGTATACTAGTACAAGTCAACGTGCACACATAGTACAATTCTAAACACCACTTTTGGATATTATTAATGTGGCCATTATTAAAAAAACACAGGCAAATGTGGTCATGCTAAATGTTCTTGATCCGTTTGACACCTACATCTGGATATGCATACTTGGATATTCGCTTGTAACAGCAGGTACCATGGCGATTATGGATAGATGGTCACATAAGGACAGTGAACTAGAGCATAGACTAGAGGAAAATACGGAATCTACGCGAGGTATGGCCTACTATGTGGTTTACATGTTTGGTGGATTCCTACAGCAGGGCGGAGTCAGCCTGCCTCGATCTCTTCCATGCCGAATACTTCTATCTATGTGGTGGATTTTCGTTCTTACTATCTGCGCTCTGTACTCTGGTAATCTAGTCAGCTCTCTTGTTGTTAAGCCAACGATTGATTATTCATTTACGACTCTAAATGAGTTAGCACTTCATCCTACCATCACACCGACTGCTCGTGTAGGGTTCGCAATCTTAGATGAGATGCAACAACAGCCTTCGGAGTCCGACCTGGGAAAGATGTGGCGGAAAATGTCCGCAGATGATCGGGCAATAGTCAACAGCACAGAAACTGCGTTCGAACTCGTTCTCACTGGAAACTATGCTTTTCTGAACGATATTATGAGCAAACATGACGTTTTTCAGCAAGACTACGCGTCAACGGGAACTTGCAGATTTTCTATAGCTCCGTTGAAAATACCGTCACTCTATACATCATGGATGGTACCACTTGACAGCAAATACGAACAGGCCATTAACATGGCTCTACAGCGGTACATTGAAAGCGGCAATTTAATGTATCTCCACAGTCAGTTGTTCTCGCAGGGGCCATCCGAATGTTCGCAGGACATTGGAATGACAGTAGATGCTCAACGTCTTGACCTAAAAATCATGATGGGAGTCCTCATTGTGCTACCGATAAGTACTACTAAATACCGATAGGCCTATCACTTCTCCGTCTTCTACTGGAATTCATTGCAGTGAGCCGGAAGAGAAAAAGTAGGCGTCGAGAGAACTGTGTGTGTGTGTGTGTGTGTGTGTGTGTGTGTGTGTGTGTGTGTGTGTGTGTGTGTGTGTGTGTGTGTGTG